GATACGAGCCCTGCTCGCGCCTTGCGGATCCCATGTCCGCTCCCTGACTTCTCGTCAACAGGGGAACGTGGTGTAATCACCAATGACGTCGACGGGGCTCAGAGGCGGCAGCTTGAAGCTGACCATAAGGCGGCTCTGAAGCACGCCCATCCGCGGCCGGGCATTGACTCTCGTGTGGAATATGGCTTCCGCCCAGCAGATTTCGCTGTGGAAGCGTAACTCGACCGTTACGCGTCCACATCATCGGGCCCCCGACCAGAACGAAAGATAAACTTGCCACACGAAAGCTCTTCGAGCTCGTTTCTTGGTCCCACAAGAAAATCCGTTGGAAGTTTATCGCACTCGTCTACGTGCTTAACGAGGTGGCTCTTGTGTACCCGCAATGCGGACGATACCTGTAGTGCTCGCCCCTGGCGAAAGCGCTACAGATGACGAAGCGCTTTTTGAGCGATGGGTGCAACGGCACCGGAAACTTTCCTCACTGTATAACCTACAGCTGAGCCACAAGGAAGTGGACGTGCGTGTGGAGCGACACCTCCGATTTGAGTTTGTTGAAGTCAAGGCACGCCGTCAACTTCCTTCGGATTGTCACCCTGCTACGTATGGGTTAGCCTTTAACGATCCCGCGAGCTCTGTGTCTTCTACCGCAAGAGCTTAGTGCCACTGCTTGAGCTCAGCTCATGGCCCCTTCTACTTCTCTAACTATTGCCGGGAAGCGCGGGGCGCCTGATGACGCGGGGCGTTCTGATCTTTCCGATCAAAAGCGTTCACGGCGACTGGGCAATCTTGCCGAAGTGGCGCCTCAAACTCCCACGAGTTTACGGAGTCGGGATGTCTCCGCCACTTCACCAGATATTGGGTCTGACCCTGGTGACGACGTCGTCTCACTAGACGTACCACGTGATAGTAGACGTCACCGTTCTTACGAGAAAATTCAGTGGGGAGGTGACGACCGGGTCGACCGCCGTCCGGTGACTCGTGATGCTCTTCGAGCCCTTGGGAACAAGGTCCTTCGTAATCGGAGCTTTGCTAAGCGTCATGCTGAAGTAGCATATCGCTGTGTGGACGCTCTTGACGATTAAAAGCACGTCGTGCGTCGGCTGCCTCGCCTTGAAGACTGCTAATCTCTGGCAGAGCGACACGACTAGGAGTCGCTCTCTTAGCCGTGGATCAGGCGAATGCATCGCTGCAAGCAACGGTGGAGCGCTTGGCTCCATTGAAAATGGAGGTTGTGCACTCCGTGCTCAGAACCAGTTGCTGGTTCAACTTCTGGATGGCCGCGGGCCCGTGGTATCCGCTCCGGCGCCAACGCTTCCGCGTTCACCTGCGCCGGATCCCGGGACGGCTTGAGCAACCCACGTAAAACACCGAGTGGGTGTGCATCCGTTTGGGAAGGTTTAGCGTGTTCGCTAGGCCCCGCTTGGCCATAACCTTGAACAATCCAGCAAACCGTAGACGAAGCTTCGTCTGGAAGATAGCAGAGGCTGCATGTGTGGGCACGTTATTAGAATCTAATAAGTCTCCGACCTTTTAAGCTTTCCACTTTACCTCTTCCT